TGACGTACGCGGAACAAACGCACGTGTAAAAATCTACACCGCTGTTGCTGTCTATTTCCCTGTATCTTAAGTTCCTTTGATTTTATTTAGCAAGGAAAGCCTCATTGAAATCAAAAGTCTTTTCAAGCGTCTTGGCGAAGATAGGCGGCAATATAACACTGAGTTACAAGAGAAACAACATAAGACAGATAACACAAAATATGCCACAAATCAGAATACAAATATAAAACCATGAATACAACTTTTAAAACAATCATGCAAACAATATTATCCCAAAACAACCGAAACAGCACCATGACACTACCCAATACATAAATAAATAAATAAAATATATCTAAAACAATAACTCAATCAGCTGAACACATCCTAAAGATCCTAAAATAAATCAATAAAACATAGCCAGAGTTAGTCATCCTACCATGAGCCCAACTGATTTTCACTCAGTAATGCTACTCATGGCGACATATACAAAAAATACAATATTTCGGAGCTTAACTAAAATCAGCAGATAATATTAGACATGCTGATGTATCAGTCTGGCTGTATTTATGTGTGTCATTTGCTTAATCTGCAGTAAATGAAGCTCTTTGATTTATTTTTGTTTGATACACTCAGAGAAAGCTTAAGTTAAATTATGCCACTCCATGTGAGTGCACTCATATTTGTAATACTGTAACTGATTTGTCCTTGTCTTATGCATTTTCTTTCATCAGTGAAGCCGAAAAATCTGGCAGTGTCGCCGCTGTGATTTATTTCAAGGTCCACTTATGCTGCGGGGTGATAGAAGTCTTTCAGTAATCTCAGACAGGGACAGATCAGCATTTGAAAGGCGCGAGCTCTTTCAGGTTTATAATGAGCTTGTGTGGCTAGCTATGTCCCTGCGACAGTCTAACTTTAGCAGAGGAGGGGTAAAAGGAGCGCACCGAAGGACACAGTGGGATTAGAAGTCAAGGATGGCTTACACTGAAAGAAACTCTTCATTTGACCTTTGCGCATTGACCGTACAAGTCGGTGAATCAGTGGAATGGTTCTGCAATTAGCTCGTGTTATTTCTTAATATATAAATCCTCATACCTGAAGGACGGGTCAGCAGTGTACGTAAGTGAGCTGGCAATATGGAAGCAGAGGCCCCTCGACATTGGAAGTGGACCATAAAATCCTCTAACGATGCACGATTTAAGGTTTTTGAAAGAGGCGTTTTTTCAGGGAAGTCTCTGGCCTCTCAAATGAACAACAGCTGCGCTCTGGAAACGAGACAGCTGTTAACACACCCACCTGCTTAATTTCATTAACACCTCTTGAAATTTAGGATACAGTTAACAGCTTGGCTCTTGCATTACAGTTTGTTTACAACCTGCGGTCTGAAAACAGCTATGGCTTTCTCTCAGTTGCAGCCAGCAGAAGCAACATCTGAACATCAGGCAGTGCTCACACATCATATTCATTTATTTACAGCGTCAATCACAGCTACATGATTGTTGACATTGTTCTGAAACATGGAGGGAAAACTGGTTCTGTATCTGTGTTTATTCAGTGTTCAGTTGCAAGATAATAAAAGTGATATTTGACTCACAAGCGAGTCATTCAGTGGGTTTTTGGTAAGCTGTAAAATTAATTTCTAATTCCTTATTCTTTAGCAGAGTATAATGGACTTTTGTGTACCATTTGCTGTTATTGTAATGCATGAAAAATAGCTGATAATGAGCATCAGTTCAGACTGAATGCCATCATCTTAACAATAGATCGACAATTGATCCGTCATCAATCAGTCATTTATCTTCATTAACTCAACATTCTCAGCTTCTCAAATGTAATAATTTGCTGCTTTCTCTTGTTTTTTATCATCATAAATTTAATATGTTTGGGTTTTGGACTATTGGTTGGACAAAACAAACAATTTTAGGATGTCACTTTGCTCTCTGGGAATTTTCGATATTTATTTTCACTATTGTTGAACATTTCATTATGTAATTATAAGATTAGATTTTAAGATTAATGATTGATATTAAACCATTGTTAGTAGCCACTATCTATATCACAGTATATAATAATTAATAATTGTAATTATATTTTGAATATTTTCACCCCTTTATCTTGCCGTCAAACAGCCTTTTATGACTCAAACAGCTGATCTGCAGTGTGATAGACTGCGCGGTCTAATCGTGCGAATGCATAGGAATACAGAAGTTCAACAGTTGAGAAAATGTAGTGCCAAAGGAGAGGGGCGTTTTCTTTTTCAGCAAAACTGACAAAAATGTAAAGACGTTTTATTGGCAGAGTATTTGATAAAGAAAATGATTGATAGCTGCAATGCAAAATGAATTCATTTTTCTGAGGTCATCTAAATATAATGTACCAAATTTAGCTGAGATGGGATGAAATGTCTAAGATGGAAAAAACTACAAAACATATCCTCATTATATTAATCCTTAAAGAAGGACTACAAGTATAAGACTTCCACATGAAAAGATAATCATTTCTTCTTTGGGCCATGATGCAACTTTCCACCAAATCACAGTGAAATCTGTTGTGTAGTTTCTGAAATGTCCTTCTAAAAACACAAGCAACCAGGACCAAAACATAACCTCCTTGGTGGAGGTAATTAAGGGAAAATGTGGGTTGTGTTGAATCTTGAGAGGAGATTTTTGTGAGCAGCTGTGCTGCAACAAGCAGTTTCCGAGAAGGGACATTTCCTCAGATCAGATGAAAACAGCCAGTTATATTCTGCTGACTCACAAATGGTTCACTCCCTCGACAGTATCGTACTTATTGACACCACTTGCCTCTTGCTCAGAGGCTACGTTGACATTGATCTACACCCACAAAACCACCACAGAGAGAAGCAGATGCTGAAAGCATTTGTTGTGTTGTGAGTGGGACGGCTCCACATGAGAGCTGACCAAGGCAGGTATTAAGTGTTGACTATTTTTTCATCTACCATGACTGTATCACAGAAGTTCATACGATAAATGATAGTACACTTGTCCAGTATTATTGATACTAACTATACTACATGTGGCAAGAATTGTCAACATATTGTAACAGGGGACACAGTATGAGCAGGTTTAAGCCGAGTGAAGGGCACAGAAGAATGAGCTTCTTGTTCTGTGGGAGCTCTCATTGGGAGGTTTGGGTGACAAAACCACAGCTCTCTTTGCTAATGCCCTCCCAGCATGCCTCTGTCTGGGATGGTTCACACTGCCCTGCAGCTGGTCATGATATTTCATTTTAGTGTCAGATGGACTGTTGGGCCACTCTTTCATCCTGGCTCAATGGAAGATAGGACTGCGGGTTTGATATTTACCACTGGCCAAGCGAGTTAAACTGGCCATTATTCTGCTCCCTACACTCACAGTGCATGGCGGAAATGGTTATAGTTCGAGGGTTACTGCAGTTCAAAGTAAAACCAAAGATGATCGGCCTGTGTGGATTTCACAGGTCAATGCTTTGTAGCATATACCTCTCTTCATAGTTACAAAGTAGATGAAATGGTGCAGAATCGAAATAGATTCAGAGAGGAAGAGTCAGCCGAGACTGAATTGTTAAATAAACATGAAAAGCTAAAAACCTTTGACAGATAATCAATTGCATCAGCTTCCCTTCTCTGAGAAAGCTGTGTTAAATATTGAATGACATTTGTTTTAGTTGTGTGGTCATGATCGATCCCTCCAAGGACTGTGCACATATTGCTTGCTTACCCTCTGGTTGACCCAGGTACACGGAAAGCCCGTTGCCCCCTCAAATCACCTTAATAGAAAAACTAAACTATAGGTAAATGTCTCTGATGCAGACGTGAGGAAAGCTAAATGCAGTTGAGGATAATTTTAAATTTGAGTACAGTGCAGTGTTTCTCACACGTTGAGGATTTGAAGTGATGGGTGGTACGGTGTGTGACCGATGTGCATGGAGAAACTCAGTTTAGAGGGGGGGGTGTAACACAGGTTATTTTCTGTAGCTACAATTAACAGTTGTCCCCTAAATGCCTCACATGCATTGGAAGACACAAATGTAAGATTTACATAAGTGGAAACCAGGGGATATTATCTACCTGGCTACACTGAAGTATTAATATTCACCTGCCTCAGAGCTCATTCAAGCAGCTCAGCTTTAAGGTCAGATAAATATCCTCAAGACCACATCATTTTCAGACCGAAATGGATTCACTTGATTTACGGAACCCAGGAGCACTTGGACATCATTTTTTTGTAACGGCTTTAATTAATCCTGTCAAAATTGCAAAGTGTACCGAAATGACATAAAAGATGGGTTCCCCTCCAGATAAATCGATTTTGAAGCAATATTCTGAGTGTCATCACTGTCTCTCAGAGTCAAAACAATATTTTTTCTTTCTGAATAGCATCCAGATAGGACTGAATCACTTCCAATTTCTGTGATATTTTCCAACTAAATGTTCTCAGCACCATATAAACAGAAATGTCACAACCAGAAATATTTAGTAGCCCTGTTTTGGCGAATGCTGCTTCTCAAACTTCTCAGGAAGCTATTTTCTAATGCTATTCCTGCTCATCTACCTTGTTGTACTTTATGGATGTGGGCGGACCAAGAGGAAGTACAAATGTGCCCCACATAAATCCAGCTGGATCATGTAATTCATGGAGAAAATGTATGAAAGATGAAAACAAGTAACACAGATTTTCAGAGGAACTACCAAGAAGCCAAAATGAGATGGATTAAAAAAGTCTCTTGTGCTAATGAAATTCTTTGTCCAACTTAAGAAGAAAGTATTAAAAAAGCAGCAAATGGAACAGATGGAGGTTTGTTTAATATATTTATGGTTTTTATCAAGGGAGGATTTGATGAAAGTCTCAGTCTTGCCACATGAGGGGCAAACACACACACCTGGCAGCTCCATCAAAGCTATTGGGAATTATAGAACTAGCTTAAGGGTATCTGGATGGTAGCTTGGAGCATGTGAGGAGTGTTTATCATTGTCTTTCTCAGATTACACTGTGCTAATACTCTCCGTCTGTCCCCTGCAGTAATTATACAGCCCTGGTCGGCGTGTGGATCTACGGCTTCTTTGTCATGGTGCTGCTGGCGCTCGACTTTCTCTACTACTCAGCCATAAACTATGAGCTGTGCCGGGTCTACCTGGAGAAATGGGGTCTGGGAGGACGCTGGCTGAAGAAGGCTCGGAGTCAGTGGCACAGGTCCATGCCAGAGGAGAGTGAGGCCCAAGCTCAAGCCCAGCCCATGGTCCCCAGCCACTACCAGCCCCGACACAGCCTCCGAGGGGAGAGCCACAGCCCCACGCTCCTGCCCTACAACACATCCACCGCATGGTGAGTCACTGTCTGTCACGTGACGACTGACAACCTGCAGCTTGGTATGCATGTCTACTGTGCAGCTGTACAGCTACACATAAAATGCAATTAACCAAAGATATGCTTTTAATCATTATTATGAAAATGATTATAAGAGCAAAAAAACATCTTATGTGTAAGCCTTTGTACAATTGGTTGTTTCCCCCATTGCTAGCCTAGTCACGCCAAATAAAAGGAAACTAAGCCTAAATTATCTGTTCTTGTGTTACATATTTGTGACAGTTTGCTATCAAGTGAAAGAAGATACAGTACAATGTAGCTCCTTTTTAAGTAGCTGAATTGATAATATTAATTATGTAGCTGTAACTACCAGCAACGGTCGCGCTATTTTCAAGGTTTGTTATAGTTCTTTTCATCAAACAGGAGATGTCATGGCTGTCAGAAAAAAACCCTATTTTTCCCATAGAATGTATATAAAGACAGACATGGCCTGTGACGTTACCCCAACTCCCAGCTAATCCAAACATGGGCAAAGAGGTGGGGTGTGTGTGGAGCCAAGACTTCAGTGCATGCCAGTTTAATAACGGTGGCAAGCATACGCCTCCATTAGCATTGTTCGACTGGCTTGCCAACTGTGTGCCAAAGTTGGGCATTTTAACGTGGGAGTCTATGGGGATTGACTCGCTTTTGAAGCCAGTCACAAGTGACCATTCGAGGAACTGCATTCCCATGTTGGCTTCATTTTTCAGCCCTGGGGCTTTTGTTTTTCAGCCACTTGTATTTATTGTGTCGGCGATTTGACAATGAGTAACTTAGCAGTGCCACCAATGAGGACCATGGCTAATGCTAACATCCACAAGACGTTTGTGTATTCCAAATTGGCCAAGGACAACACAGTGACTGAGTGGCTGACTGAATACGCTAGATAAGAAGCAACACTGAATCAAAAACAGTGGTGGAAGGAGTACTAAGACATTTTTACAACTACAACTCATGAATTCAAAAATTAAACCACAAATGTATTAGCGTCAAAATATACTTAAAGTCAAGCAAAAGCTAAAGTAGTCAGGCAGTGTGGCCCTTTTCAGAATCACATATTATGGGAATTATATTATCAATGCGTCTATGTGTGACTCACTTTAATGTTGCAGCTGGTACAAGTGAAGTTAATTTTAATTACTTGAACTCTCATCTTGACGTATTATAATCCATCATTTGTTAGACATATTTTATATTATCAATCTGAATCTGCAAAACAATATAGTGGTGTTAAAAGTGTAATATTTTCCTCTGAGATGTGGCAGGATAGTAGAAGTATAAAGCAGCACAAAACTGTACTAAATATACTTAGTGACTTTCTACCACTGGACAACCCTCATCAAAGTTATGATGATTGCTACTGAATTTCATCCAGAGCTCCAACACAGAAGTTTAGAAAAAACTGAAAAGACTTCTAACACGACATTACATCACATGCATTACAAAATATGATTTGTTCCACTCTGATTAGCATATTACATAGAAGAGACTCTTACTGTTGTTTGGAAAAACAATGAATGGATAAGATGCTTAGAAACAAATTCAACAGTTCCTTTCAGAGATGTTCTTCATGTCTTTTTTAACGTTGTTTCTCTTTGTGTCTCATTTTGTTGTCCGCCTGTCTCTCTTTGTACTCTGTGTTTTGTTAGAGAGTGCTACATGGCAGGGAAACAAATTAAAGCATTTCTAGCATACTTTCCCCGAGCCAACAGGGAGGAAGCTCAAACATCAGGCTCCCCATTTACTGGAGTTCCTCATTAAGAGTGTAGTGTGCACACAAACAGAGGCACATACACATCATTACTGCCAGACAATGATATTGATAACTATGTTCCTTTTGAAATCATAGCAACTCACTGGTAAAGAATTTGATCATTTCAATGTATGGTTTCCCTCTGGCTAAGGAGTACTTACTTAATCAGTATTTAAAGAGACCTTCCATCCACTAATGGATAATATTCTGCAAAGTATCTGATCTGCATTTGTCTTTCATCTCACAATAGCTGCACTCTGTCTGAACATAAACCTCTTTTTTTTTTTTTTTTTAAAAGAGAATTAAAGGTTTTAAGTCTGACCAGCTCATTAGGGAGCTGTCATTATTAATGAGTTGAAAAGAATGGAATAATATGAAAGCATCATTGTCCACCAGGGGCCCTTAACTCGTATTTAACCTGAATGATTCGACTCGGAGTCACATAGGAAACCTTTCATGGAGTTTCTGTGGCAAAACACCATCTGCTGTCCTTTCAGTTTATCTTTTTATTACCTTTGAGAGCAGTCACAGGAGTCTCAGGATGTGTTAGGCTGCGCATGACTGTTGTTAAAACACACAAAATGATTTACAATGCCAGAAGTGAACTGTAACACACAGCAGCCACGGGGAACCTTTTCTTCTTTTGGCAGACATTGCTCAGCCTTTCATAATACAGCTACAAAATCATAGAGCGCAGTCTGAACAAACGGACATCTTTGTGCGGTCAATTTTTCATTCAGTTCTCCATCTCAGACACCGTTCACCCTATCTGTCTGACTGAGGCTCCGAGTCTCTTCCTAGAGGTAGGCATCTCTCTTGGGTCATGATAATTTAATGTGGACAGAGCTTTGACAAATGGCTTTGAGAAGCAGCGTGGACAGTGGGAGCCATAGACAGAGGAGCTGGGGTGCTACAGAGGGATTCTGGGGCTGCTCTTCTGGTGGAAACGTGGTTAACTAAGACTGGACATATCCATGGAGCCTCCTCATTAGACATGAAGTCAGTTCAGTATGATAGCACTCATCAATCCTAGACTGGTGAGGTTGACCTGTACTGGCAGCTCTCCAGCTTTGAACTACACAATTTCTATAAAAAGGTGTTTCAAACTTCAGCAAAAAGCTCATTGACGAAGTGGGCCGGGAAAATGAGAGCATGGTAAATCCATGGTAGTTCATGTTGATAATAAGAGACGGAAACCGCTTCAGGATGGATGGCGGTTTGGAATAATGGTGTGCAATATCCTTTGCTATAAAAAAAAATTGTAACCTTTTTAATAAACAGGACATCATTTACAAGGAGCTAAAAATATTCTTGGATAATCATTCACATCGAAAAAAAAAAAAAAAAAAGTGACATATGCTGGGAGCTAAATTCAGCCACAAGCAGTTTCTGGGGCAGGATTAGAATAGCCTGTTTGCCATTTCACACAGTGAAGCACTTCTCACAATCCAGATAATGCTTACACTTTTTTCTTAAATGTGTTAAGTAACCATGTTAGGTGATACTGTATGTACACCACAGATGATGTTGCCCACACAGTGCGTCATCAGCCCATTGGCTCATGGTTTATAAGCAAGGGTACAGATCTTTATCCCCAGAGAGGATGCAGGGTAATGGCTCAGAAAACTGGGTCCTCTTAGTTGAACATCTGTTGGCCGAATGTAAACAAACAGAGATGGGGTCAAGTCCCATAACTGGTGCAGCAGCATCTAAAAACAACCCAGTCGCACAGCAACTCAGGAATCCAGTATAAACCGTTACCAGTGCAGCAGAGCAATCCTGACAAGCAAGTCAAAGTATAATTTCTCCGCATGCACACATCTATTTCTTCAAAGAAAGTGCAGCTTGGCGTTCAGCGTGTGGGAAAACTGTTTACCATATCGCTAAATGAGCGGGCTGGTATGTACTGCTGCAGATCTGCTGGGGGTTCAGTGTGGGTGGCCTGGGAAACTGTTATTACTTTATCTCCGTGGATACCTTTTATTAAAACCTCCTATTTATGTGTTCACTTCAGTTTCAACAAGTAAAAGAAACTCAAGTGGTGTCATTCCCAAGAAATGATGATGCGATCCAGGCAAGAGAAAAACAAAAGATCTGCTGAGCCAGATATTATAGTTTATCTTCAGTTTATAGGAGGAATGCATTGTTTCTTTATGAGCAGGGAATTACCAGCAAATGGGAAATTACTCACAGAGTAATGTTGCACTTAATGGCAGCAACAACCCAGTCAATGATTAAAAAAAGAGAGCAGAAAGCAGACATGTTATTTCTGAACTTTTTCTGTGATAGTATTATGGCATGGGCAAAGGCCTTGGTTTGCCCAATGTCTGCAGTCAATCCTACACAGGACCTTAAAAACTGACCTGACTCTAAGTGATTCCCAAGACATTTGTACCTTGAGGGGTATTTCTGCAGTAGAAAGATTGTGTAGTAGCTTAGTTAATTGGGAAAAATTGATGTAATGATTTGGTAGAAATAAATGATATCAATACATTTGTGTTTTGGAAGAAATAAATATCCAAAAAAAAAGATTGATTATAAACTGGTGTGAGGCTAATCTTTGGTATATTTTTTGTCACAATATCAAATTACCTGAATGAGTCAGCATTAACAATAGGTTTACAAGTGAACAGATAAGCTGAAATACAGAACCAGGCTAGCTGTATCCGCTTGTTTTAAGTCTTAATGCTACGATAACCCAACCAGCTTCTGGCTCCAGTTACATATTTACCTTGCAGGCATGAGTGGTATTGATCTTTTCATCCAATTCTCTGCATGAAGAAGCAGTGTCGAACTATTCCTGTAAATATCCACTTTAAAATCCATTTAAATTTTAACACATTTGGAACATGATAGGTGGTGTTAATGAAGGGGCACTGGAGCTGACCTCACAGGGCTTTGGCGGTAAGAAATGTATCGGGAACCGCTACATTAAGCTTATCTCATTTCCACAGAAAGAAAGAAAAACATTTTGGCATCACAAATCTTAGCAGGGCTCTTATGTAACCCTTAAACGGCAATAAAGTCAGCTGTTCCTGGAAGCTCCTGCTCTAATGCCATAAAGCACTCGGCAGCATTAAAGCCCTGATTGGTTGTCGCCTTGTGGCTATTAGGACATTAAAAGTTTGGCCGGGATCCCAGTTTTTGCCAGCCCAGCCCTCTTCACCCACCAATCCACCTCTTGCAATTAGCAGCATTTGGGAAGAGCAGCATCTTGTGAATATCTTGACACCAGAGGGAAACTTCAAAAAGGAGCTGGCAATGAGAATCTCCCGTATTATCACTTATTTTATAATTCCTTGTGTAGTGTGCCCACTCTGAAACTCTCCATCTCAGAACTGCAAGAAATATTTGATCTGCCGCTATCCGTCGGCAGTCTGGCTTTCCTGCACATTTTGAATGAATTAAGTTTGGCTTTAGTCAGCGCTGATAAAGGCTTACGGTGCAAAAATAATCCGTGCAATCAAGATGAAAAATTAGCTGCTCATTCACTCGCATGTTTGGTGTCAGAATTGAAAATACATGACACCATGTTGGTTTAATGTGTGCTGAGCATAAGCCAGAGGTGTCATAGATAAAAGTGGCAGAAATGAGATGTTGGGCAACATCAAATGACACCACAGCACATCAACCAGAACACGTCAAAGAGTCCCTTGGCGGTTCATAAATCACTTGGCAACAAGCTGCAGCAGCACATCATGCCAGTATCCACCCACTCACTCAAGGATGTTTAGCTTACTGGGCCAGCTGAGCTTAGCCACGGATAGAGCGGTCCATGTGAGGTCACTGTTACCACAGTCAGCATATACTTGACTCCCCAGCAACCTTAAGACTGCCTCTTACGGTCAGGCCTCGGTGATTCAGTGTTATCACCCAGTCTGGTAAATGCAGTCTCCATCACTCGCTCAGTCGGTCTGTTCCATCACTTTGGTCATAGGTAGCCAATCCTAATACCAGCACTTAAACGCCTGCCGGTCTGTCTGCCGAGGAAATGACATGCAGTCACACTTTGCTAAACTCGGGAAGCAGAAACAGCATTTCACATCTTTTTTTCATCAGTTTTTTTTTTTGTCAGAGTGATCAAAGCATGGCTCTATCTCCTGCATATTTACATCCATCTTGGAGCTCACTGGTTGGCTTTCTGTGGTAATAATAGAATTGTACGTTATGAAATTATTCCTGGCCTGTCTGTCCACAGAGCGGCATGCCAAGACCTCGTCCAATTAAAGCAACACTCTCCATGTGGTGTGAGTTAATTAACATCATAGATGCTACAAAGGCAGTGAGGCACAGAGTTCTGCTGCAGGCTAAAGGGGAAGAGCAGGGGAACAGGTTTAGCTCTGTGCAAGTTGTTGAATGTCTTTTGGCATTGCCACGAGCAAAAGGGGTTACTGCAGTTTTTTCTGTTTATTTTTGGGCAGTGTTTGTGATCTTTTATTACATCTGTTGTCACACTTGCACTTTAGGAATTTTCTCTGGAGTGCAATAAGATGAACTTTAAGTCCTACAAGCACAATGAGCACAAGCATCAGTGTCACACCACCCTGCTGATTACAAGTATTCCTGTGTTCATACAAGACTTCAAGGAAAATCAACATGATATGGGGGTAGAAACTTTTTTCCCCATTTAACAGTGTGGTTATATTATTTTGGGCAGCAGAAATGAATGCTGTGGATGTGATTCATAGAGGTGGGGTGGGCTTTGAGTCTTTACAAGAATTACAGAAATGTAAAATATTCCTGTAAATCTGATTGCTTTTTGAAAAGCAAAGCTGCCCCATTTTTAGGAGTCTTTGTGTTTTCAGGCCTGATTTCAGGCTGATTTTAGAGCCAATATGTTGTTATAAAAAGATCGATGTGGACCATGAAGCACAAAGCACACACATTGTGATCTGAGAACATTTCGGCCACGCAGCTAAAAGCCATGTCCACATGGTTCTATAGGATCCAGGAGATTTTTCCCCAAACAACTTCTGTGGCAACTGTGGTGGAATTTGATGACAGGGACATGTGCGCTCTGGGCTTAAAAATAGCTGGACAGGATAAAGAAATGATATAGCCTCCATTTCTTGATTGTTTTCATTCTGTGTGATCCCTCTGTATGTATGTATTTTATTAATTATTTAAAATATGTGATATAATGTGAAATAATATGAGACCCTAAAGTGTTTCTTCTTCACTTGCTTGGTTTTTCAAAGTTGGAAAAATGGAATGGAATGGAATGGATTATCTCAGTTGTTATGGAGATGGTTTAGTTGTTAATACGGCTGCAACTAACAATTATTTTCATTATGGATTAATATGCCAATTTTTCTTTTAATTTGATTAATTGATTACTTGTTTAGTCTGTCAACTAGTGGCAAAGGAACATCATCACTTCTCAGAGTGATGTCTTCAAATATTTATTTTTGTATAAACAACAGTCACAAACTCTAAAATATTCAGTTTACCATAATATAACACTGATGAAAGCTAGAACCATCAAATCTGGTCTATTTTTGCTTGAAAACTTTATTTAGGAATTGGAATTTAGGTTTCGTTACACCAGGTTGTCTTAAAACATCCACTGACTCTTAAGACTTTGTCTCCTTCCCAATTGATGCTGGCACCTGTTTTGGTCTGGTGTTCACAGACAGAAGTATCCATACACATTCTTTTTGCCTGAATTATAAAACTGTGCATACAAACGGCTCCGTTTGATGGACCTCAAGCCTCATTTCTACTGAGTTAGCCATTAGTGAATGTAAACAGATTTCAACACTCACCTTATTTTTTTTTGTCTCTACCTTGCCAAAAAAAAAACGTGTTCATGTGGCCTGAAGTCTGCACGAGATGTGCACACTTTTATTTTAATTTTTTTTTTAAATAAACACTAGTTTTGTGTAAAATAGCGGATGTATGAATCATTTATGCATCTGACCTGAAGTTGTCCGTTTCTGGTATTTATTTAGTCTATCAGTCCAGGATCCTCGCTGTGTCACCGATTTAGAAATAACCAGGAACCAGACCAAAATCGGTCACAGCATTCAAAGCCAAAGACCACCCATGAACGGAGAAGGATTTATAATCTCCACCCCCACATATGACCAGGGCGCCTCTCTGGCTTGTCCCTAGTTTGAATCAGGCCAGGGACATTTGTTACATCCTTCTCTCTTCCCCGTTTCCTTTAATCTTTCCACTAATGTTTTGAAATAAAGATGTAGTTAAAAGCTTCTGAAAAAGGAGGAAAGTAGACTTTGTTATAAAAACATGTTTGTTGAACTGCTATTTCTATATATCTTGATGCTCAATTTTTTGCTTTTCTTTTTTGGCGCAGAATGATGCTGCGAGTGGACAAACAGAAGAGTAGCAACACCTTGTTCCCTTACATGGCACGGAGGAGATGCCCCACAGACGCCCCTCTCTGGACCACAGATTCAAAGACTACTAGTGGGCTAGCCATAATGTAGTAGTTAGAAGTGACTACTGCCCCTTTCTAAAGAGCACAAAACACCCGTGGACTGACGGAAGCAGGCTGACATGGCATTTAGGAACCCAGCTGAACTAAGTTTGCAAGACACGCAGAGGACAGTACTGCTGCTGCCACAGCAAAGGAGTGACAAACACATTCAGCTGCTCAAAGGTGTTCAGTGATCCCCTGAAATGGCTGCCAAGGCCTGGAGTATCCCAAACAAATCTGAGCTGAACTGGATAAACTGTACTCGCAAGCGAGGAGGCTTGCCTGTTTTGGAAAAAAAGAAAAAAAAAAGCGAATCTTTCTAGATATAAAATGTTTATTACACTGCTGTGTCAGTTTGTGTTCAGTAGCAGTTAGACACAGTTGTGGGTTATCTATTTGGTGATTTATTTATGTGAACTAGTCAGAGAAATATATGAGTGGTTAACATTCGGAACATGTTACAGCGTAGGTTGATGCTGAGCATCTCACTTAGAGTAGAATGTTTGTTACTTACTGAAACCAGACGCAAAATGTCTCTGCAGCCATGTCGACAGACAGTATCTTATATGACATGTTTTAGGTTTCCTTTCTGCAAAACAATTTCTCTATATTGTAACGTGTCTGAGAAGGACATAACGCCATACAGTTAAACTGCTGTAGATCTAAAGGTTTTACATTAGGTCGTCAAGATATTTCTTTGGTTTACAGACGCTGAGTAAAGGGATCTTGAGTCTGAATAATTTCACCCAAAACATTAAAAGGGGACCTATTATGCTTTTCTTTATTTTCTGTCGCATATATAATGCTACAATATCAGATGTTCATATTAAACATGGCAAAAGTTTCAAATAATGAGGTGAATGTACGTAAAATTAATCCCTGAGACAAAAACTTCCATGATGAGCTGCACAGATTTCTTTATATGCTCCAAGCACAGCTCATTCTCCCACACCAGTCTAGTTGAGTAGTATTATAGGCATTTAATGTACTCCAACATACAAATAACCAATGGTGCAGGTTTACTATACAGTCATTTGGCGACAGCCAAATAACATTTTACTAGCAAAGTTAGCTTTTGTATTTCTAGACAGCCGACATTTTCCACTTCAGCATTTTAGCACATTTCCCAAGCGTGCAACTATTAAGAAGTGAATATATAGAAAACATTTTATATAGGGATTGTGAGTGAAGGACTAAATCCACACAGAGGCAGGTAATGAGTGTAATATTTACCAAACAGAGACTTCCTGCTGTAATCTTGCATATGTTCGTGTTGTCCACTCTCATATTCCAGATTTGATTCAAGCTTGAACGTACACAGATGCATTTGAGAAGTTTCCAGTCAATTATGTTACTTAGTTTTAGTCACTAGTTACTTAGTTTTACAGTTTGCTTTCAGAACTGCCAACGTGGTAAGAGGATGAGGCAGTGCTGACAATCGTAATGTGCGCTGCCCCTTGGCTGGCTTCCAGATGTTCGGCCAAGGTGACTTTTAAGGAAGCCTCTTAAGGTTAATATCATCTGTCTGTCAGAGGTTCAACTGAGGGGCTGCATAACAGACAGTTGACATAAATAAGGACTTTTTTTTAAACTATGAATCATGCAAAGCTACTCAGATGGAGTCCCAGAATAAAAATATAGAGCTGAAAATGAGCATAATAGGTCTCCTTTAATGAGAGTCAGGGATGCCTTCAGAACAGTGAATTGCTTTCTGCTACATTAAAAATAATCTTAACCCTTTGCTATGAGTCTACAACGCCATTTGAGACCATAACACATAAAGTTAGTATGTGACAGCTGCCTCGGTAAACTCATCCAATGACTTGTTTGCCCTTCCTCATGACCAGAGCTGCCTGAAAGACAGGTCCATTAGCAATATGATGCAAATGAATATCCATTAGGTTCCTTTATAAGGAGCACTCCATATCCCACATTGCTAATACACAATTGTAAGCAATTAGCCATAATAGAAAATGTAAAGAAATCCATTGAAATCCCCTTCACTGTCAGCAATAATGTACAGTAGCTTCATAAAAAGAATGACATGGTTTGTAGAAGTCAGACAGCCGGCCAAATGAGCACTGGGTAACCACTGAGGTGTATAGCAGAGGTTTCAGCTTGGTTTACATTTGAAATAAAGATGAAGTCGATGAAATACACAGTATTTCTGGATGATGAACTCATATTGAAAATGCTCTCCATTCAACCATTTCTGTGTCAGCTATGTAGGGAGAAAAGTGAAAAAAAAAGATCACTTTTTTAAAGAAAAGCTTCTACTTCAGGGCTGCAGGGCTTACTTATAGATTAATCAGTCAATTATTGTCTCAGTTAATTAGTCATTCAATTTATAAAATGACAGAAAATAGTGGAAACTGCTTGTTATGATTTCCAACAGCCTGAGGTCAAGTATTCAGCAGTCAGTTCACAATCATATACAGTTTGACAAAGAAAAGCATAATCCTCACATTTGGAACCAGAAAATGAAAAATTACTAAAATGATTAATCAATTATCAAAATAAAAGTCTCTAGGGCTGCAAATAAAGATTTATTTCATTACTGATTAATCTGCCAATTATTTTCTCAATGGTAGTTTCGTCTATGAAGTGTTAGAATATACTGAAAAATCCCTGTAACAATCTGATGTCTTGAGATTATTCATTTTGTCTGACAAATGGTCCAATATCCAAAGATATTCAATTAACTATCACAAAGAAAAGCAGCAAACCAGACAGAAGGTACGAGAGAGTACAAGAGGGGTGTCTGTCCCCATCTTGCATCTGTAACTGGTAATCTGACAGCTGCCGAGCCTGAACGCACGCAGAATCTCTGGTCCATTCACACATTACAACATCCTAGTCAATAGCTAACAGGAAAAAAAAGTCTACCATGGGACTGCTGAGGCTCTAAGCTGCCAAACTGGGTCTTGCCATCTTATTTATCCTCTCCATTCCATGAAGTTTAAGTGGACCCTAACAGAACTCAAGTCAAGTGCTGTGAGCGGGACCTGCTGGGCATCATCCTCAGTTATCAGCAATAATATTCACATTTGCTGAGTTGTTAGAGCAAGTTAATTCCCATTTCCATGGCTAAAGTTTAATTGCATGTGTGTCCCAGCAGGCTCATGCCATCACTTTCAGGGGAAGAGAAACAGGATGTGTCCAAGTGAAATAATTGGCCCAGAGATCAGCAGTAGTTACACTCTTCCGCTCTTTCTCTCTCTCTCTGTAGCTGCGTCTCTATTCCCAGAGTGTGAACAGCAGCAGCAAACAGAGAAGACAAGTTTTTAACAGGTGCAGGAGCACAAACGGGATTTAATCAGTCCTCGAAGTTGGATAAGTGGGAAAAATCTGTTATGTTAGAGAACATGTCTCTTTTCAGGGCTCTCTGCTGTGTGTTCTGACCTGTAATAAGGAAACGGAGGTCTGCTCTTATCACCAATAAAGTAACAATCACACCCAGGGAAAAAGCAGTAGCAGGGTCAAAAATGATTCCGTCAAAATACATATGAGGAATCTTTCCCCCGTTTCTTAAAATGTAACAACTTGGTTTTGTGATGTTTTCTGTTTTGTTGAAAACAGTCTTGACTCTGGCCTGATGTGATGTGGTACTGTAAATTGTATCAGCTCAACCCTCTTCCCAAATACAAAAAAAAAAAAAAAAACTAAAAAAAAAAAAAAAAAAAAAAGGATGGGAAGAAGGGAGCACACATCTGTTTCAGTCTCTCCAGGTTGTCATGGTAACAGTTGCCTTACAGTTGAATACCCACCTGTACACAGAAGCTTTGTAGTGGTTGATACCTCACTTTTTGGGTGTGGTGGTGGTGGTGATGATAATGTGCACCACGTTCTGTCTATGTATTTACTACTAGATAGAATGTTCAGTACCGTTTTCAGTTGGATTGTTATTGCACTTGTTGACTTTGTATTGTCACGACAGGGAAAAAATAAAGTTTTATCTTTTCCAGTGTGTTTAAATCCCTCTGTGTCAAGTGCTCTTTGGAAAAACAAACTACAGTGGCCCTGAGAGCTCACAACACTGCAACATCAGAAAACACGTGCAGATAGACAAATGTTAGGCAAATGTTTTAGCTTATGAGTCAATAAGACAAATTAAAACTTTGCTTTTCTATTTGTCTTTCAGTTAATTTATTTTTAAGCTCCTTAGTTTTCCTATTTTGGGCTTCAACACACATTTAATCATTTATTTATTTCCTATTTTCTTCACCACATTGTTTTTCCACACGTTTTTTCTAATGCTTATATGATAGTGAGATGCATGTGCGACAAACAAAAGTACCATTCATCCATTTTGCCAGCTGTCAGAGCAACTGTCATTAACATATTTTATTCTAGATAGCTAGCTATCAAATTATCATTAGCTCTGTGAGTTGGTTGAAAAACACTGTGTCCAACTGTCTAATTTTTTTTAAGTCTTATAAATGGATCTTAAATATGACTACATGCATGATATTGTGCTAAAGCTGCACATTCAAGGCTAATGAGTTAGCATCCTCACTACTCTGATAAGGATAAATGTATAAAGAATAACTTGTCATCTATACAAATCTATTTGGATGCATAGGATACATACTTGGAGAATACAGAAGTTGGATAAACGCTATTAAAGGTTAAACCTTTAACCTCACCGGTGAAAAGTTAAACTTCACCAAATCCAACAGAGAGCAGAGGCCTGTACTATGAACCAGGATTAGGGGTCAGCCAAGCAACTTCAGTTTTAACCCTGTGTTTTCCGGGTTACAACGGTGGTTCACTTCTCTACTGCTGTTAATCACCATTGTAGCTTATGCTGAACTCCTAACCTGCTCAAGAGCAGCTTAACTTCAGTCTAACAAACAGAGGGAGAGTTTATCACACTAAATAACTATTAGGGCTTCATTTTAATTGAACAAATATTCTTTAATCCTGACAGAATTCCTGACAGTTCTTTTAATCTTACTCCATCACTGCAGCTCAGAACAAGATAAGACGTTGTGACAATAACTGGAAATAAAAACTAAACCCTCACACACATAAGAGTCAGACAGAATTATCTTCTTTTCTCTCCTCTTCTACTTTGGCAGCAGCCACAGTCTGTCATTACATAATAGTTTGTTCATCATCAGACAAAAGAGTAAAATACTCGTAAGTAAGAAACTTAATGACAATTTCTGTAATTATTTACAGTATCTCCTTAGCCTGACTTTATTGGACTTAACTGGAAGCAATTTCTGTTGTTTCATTTCAGTTCTTGTTATGTGATCACATTGTTCACATTTCACCTTGAATATCACTTTTGGATGTCGCCATAACTGAATTTACCTGCAGTTATCAGCATTTCTTCTCATATCAGCTTAAATCATGGTTCTGACTATGTTGCTTATAATTAACAACTCTGCCTCTTTCACACGAACATGCTCATTGCCGGATAGGAAAACAGAGTTAACAGAGTACAGCTTCATAGTAGCTACAAGAGAGGTTATCCAGGACGGACAATGTTCTCAGTGAAGCCAGATAACAAAAATATATTCTGAGTATGTTGAACTTACTCCACAATACAAGCCCAAGGACAGAGAGCATTACCTATATTACTTGCACCAGCTCCTATGCAGCGGATATCCTAGTCGAGATTGGGGCTTTTTTTCCCCACTGTAACTTGTAAACCCACACCCTACTGAAGCTAGCTACAATAGCTGGCCTGGAAGTAAGAGGTTAGGTGTCTAAAGTAGGTAAGCTGGATAAAATTTGGAGCTTACATAAGAGCAGATAAACACGTTTAATCCATGCATTACAATTTTTTGCTCATATTTTTGGTTTTGGGAAGACTAAAAAAATAAAAGAGACCATGATCCAAACTCATTATACTGTATGCAGAGTAGTGTTTAACTACGGACCCATGCACAGAAATTCAAGGCTAATTAGAGCTGTCGTGCCTATGGTTGCAAATGGAGCATTTTGGCAAATGGTCAAATGAACATTACACTAAATTAAGTTTTGATAAATTTTATTAACTAAAAGGTAGTGTAAAGGGATAAAAAATAAAAATAATACCCACAACTGTCAATTTGCGGGTTCAAACCCCTATGTGCTCAAAAGAGAGAAGCAGCCAAGTTTTAGCTGATTTTGCAAATTACCTTAAAATCCATCATGGTGGCCTCTGTTATGACAGAGGCTTTTTTTTTTTTTTTTTTTTTTTTTTTTTTTAAGAGCACATGGCCTTGTAGCTGTGAGTTTAATCTGGAGTCAATAGGACTCAGTGTGGTGGGGGCACCCTTTCAAACTTGTTGACCGTTAATTATGGCACCACCATTAGACCGATTGACATATTTTTTGTGAAGCATTAGCTCATAATTTCTAGTAATGATGCCAATTTTCATGCCGCTGGCTCATTCCAGCTCACTGTGAGCAAAGGCTTCAGATGGCAGATAGTGATATAGGCCCTGCCCACGTTCATTAACCAATATGGAATTTAAGATTTTGGATAATCCTTGCCCCCAGAACATGTGTACCAAATCTGGCAAAAATCTGTCCACCAGATTACAAGGTACACATTTTTGATATTTGCGCCACCTGCTATGGTTCAGGCTGAATATGCTTTGATAGGCCTATTCCCTATCATGGCCTAAAGATATCTGCCAGTTTTGTGATGATTGGACAAATGGTTAAGTTATGGCTAATATTATTGAAACCCTGCCTTTTGCAAAAATGTTTTGGTTGATAGCAGCCATCAGCTTTATTAGTCCAATTACTTTTGCTATTATTGTCTTTTATTATTATTTTATCAGCTGTTTTATTATACTTTTATTATTATCTTTATGTGGAACTCCCATTATACTAAGTTCTCTGTCCACCCACCCCCCACGCCACCTCTATCTCTTCCTCTCTCTCTCTTTCCCTCTCATACCAACCAGCAGAGGCAGATGGCCTGTAGTCTAGACCTGCTCTATATGAAGTGCCCTAAAATAACTTTTATGATTTGGCGCTATGCGTATAAAACTAACTTGCTTGACTTGACTGAAAATCAAAGTTCAGTGACAGGAACAGAAACAGCCAAAGGAACCTTTCAAGCAATACAAACATTCCTGTAGGTTTCTGTGCTTTTTTTTAATTTTTTTTTTTATATATATACACACACATTTCATTGCAGCTAGTGTGTTCACACAATACACATGTATATGCAAGTAAAACAGGCATCATAAATCATATAGGAGCTGCCGAACATAACATGTTCTGAAAGTTGTTTATGCTTGATGGAAGTGGTGACATTTACACTCTGAGATACAATTCTCCACTGTGGTCAAGAGAAAGTAAAAGCAAAAAACTGAAGATAGCATTTAATATTTTTCTGAAATCTACTCTTTATTCAGCGTGTCCCAAAACTAAAATTTTGTGACGTTTTCTTTTTATCTTTTGGTGCTATTGTCTGTTACATTTTGCTGTGTCATTATTACAACTGCCTTTTCATGCCTTCATTCTGGCAACAGCTGTGGTCAGCTGTTTTTGGGTTGTCTGAG